CTCTCTCTCTCTCTCTCTCTCTCTCTCTCTCTCTCTCTCTCTCTTTCTCTCCTTCTCTATCTGTCAATCTATACCTATATCTATCTGTCTTATCTGAAAGCAATCTTTAATCAACAAGCTCATAGCACATTAATATGGCTCTTGATGTTTCAATTTTATTACCATTGATGCCTGCATAAAACAAGATTCAATTCAACACAACGAGCGATCACATTGACAATATTTTTAAATTCCATTTAGCGGATATTGTCACACTCGAGTATTTCCTATATTATAACTATATTAATACTATATTTTCGTTGATTCGAAATTTCGTTGTTCTTCAAATGTTCTTCAGTAATTAATAAAATTTATTGCTTTGTTGTTGTATACATTGCTTTGTTATTATATACATTTAAAAAATAAATATCATTCTAGGAATTTGTTTTGCATATTATTTACAAATGCAAAAATTGAAAATTTAATTGTATATTTATTAATTTATTTATTAATTTAAGTATTACAATATTAATACCTAAATTAAATAATGAAATGTGTGTGCAACTGTATAATTTTATAAATTTTCTAGTTTCTCTTCTACTAGAAATTAGGAAACATGATAAAGGCATAAAGTTAAATATAACGCACATTTATCATAATGGAAATTTATTGTTTACATTTAATGTATGTACACAGATTGGATATTGCTCATAAAAATTTTTACTTGAAAAAATTGTGTTTATTATCAATAACAATAAATTTAAAGTATCGGCTTATGATCAATGTGAAAAGTAAGGTTTAATGAAAACGATTTGAAAAAAGTAAACATTATGCATAATATTTTATTGTTAGTGCAACATATTGATTCTAATTTAACTACGATCATTACAAAGACATCGTAGAGTTATAAATGTATAAATAGTTATTTCATATACAATATTGTCATAAAGTTACAATTTTTTTTATGTGTTCTTTTTTACTACTTATTACTACAGTTATACATATTACAGTCAATGTTACTCATCACACCCTCCTTTATAATACAGTTTATCTGACAGTAAACTTCCTTGTTATACTTTGGGATGGGTTTTAAGTTTTTACATTCTGTAATTAAAAAAAAAATTATAAGATTTAATTCAAAATTTCATAAAATCTCTTATATTTGTTTTTAAAAATAAACTTTATTAAAAAAAAAATATAAATAGATTACCTTTATCTATGCAATTCGCAACTTTGCATTTGCAAGAGTCTACGTTCTTTTTATATAACATAACATCCTCGCAATATTTAATACCATTTTCTCTGATTACTTCATTTTTTTCGTTAATCTAAAAATAATTGATTTAATTATTGATTTATATTATTGTGCTATTAAACAGCACAATTTAAAATTAAAAAATTAATTTTCTTATTTACTTTTAAAATTACTTCCTATATGTTAATTAAAATGGATAATAAAAAATTGCTATTAAATTATTAACATTGTTTTAAATATAGTAAATTTGTTTTAGGAATATTATTTGTTATAGTACAATATGTAAAAGCACAATATGTAAAAATTCTTAGCAGAAATGAGTAAAATTAAATTAATTAAAGAATGTAATTATTCTAATCACCGCATGCAAATATGTATGTGTGTTTTTATAATTATATAATTTCTGTTTTTAATAAATACATACTACGTTAACTCTGCGCAGTGCACAATCCCATACAAAAATATCCGTCAAGGGATCGACTGTAATATAAATTTCAAATTTATTAATATAATTTCAAATGTATATGTTCTTACAATTAAATTCATGAAAATGACTTAAATTCCAATATAACTCCAATATAACTTTGTTTAAATCAATACTAATTTCTAAATGGATTTATTTCTAAATGGAATTTCTAAATGGATTAATAAATGAATTTATTTATTTCTAGATTTATGTTAGCGATATTTTAATTTTTATAGATGTCATACTCTTGAAGTACTTTGAAATACTATAATATCATTCGAAATATTTTTGATAATTTCCTTCAATTCGTTATATTGTTATTATCTTTTATGAATTTTTTATAAATCTTAGCATTTTCATAATTTTTTCATTGTATTCTGTATTGAAAGTTTTTTAAAGTAATTTCATATTAATTATTTATCCGTTTAAAATATTTACAGATAAAGTAATAGAAAAATAGGAAACTAATTATTTTATCCCGCTTTTAATATTAGTAAAGCATAAATTTTAGATTTGTTTTGGTTCAATTTAATATAAACGTATATAATATTTAAAAAGCCATTGCTTTATATTGTAAATATAAAAATCTTTAATTTAATTAAAGTCTTAATTTTAATAAAGTCTTAAATTTTAATAAAATAAAATTAATTTGCACAATATGCCATACAAAAATATTCATTAAAAATATTCATTAAATATCATTATATATATATATATTATTATGCGACGACTGTCTCCAAGCTATAATATAACTGCGAATAGGATTTCAATCGGTTAATGTTATCATCATTTGTTAGAAAGAATAAAGTATAATTTTATATTATGTTCTGTTTTTACGTTCATAATATTCTATGTTGTTAACAATGATCCGATCGCGATTGAAACGTCTGTTTTGTTTATTGTTAGCACATTGTATTAAATCTTAACTAAAGATACTTATATTTTACATGAACTATATTTTACATGAACTATATAATTGAATAATTTTTTTGCTCATAGCCTTTTTTCTTTCCTGTTTTTTAAATTAATTTGCTGAGAATTAATCTGCTTGCAGCTCCATTTATTTATATGATTTAATTTGCAGACTTTTAACAATAGTGACAATTTTCTTTTCAATTCGAAAAGACGGGAGGTAGTTGTTACAAGGAAATTGTTATAATTAGTTCTTCTAGTTGCCAAAGAGGGCAGCATTTTTATAAACAGTATAGGTAATCCTTGTACGCATTCTGCTATTCTACTTAGTTTTGTAATCATAATTGGATTATAGAAAACGCTACATCTGTTTATGTGATTTTCGTTGTTATTGGAATTAAATATTTCATTGTGCGAATGCTTTGTTTTATTGCAAATCTGTCAAATTTGAACTGAATCAAAATGCAAAATCATCGAAGCAAAAAATTCAACGTGGATAAGATTTCAGGGACTGTAAAGTTACACATGTTAGTGACGCTTACCAACATTTTACAGTCCCTAAAATCTTACTTACACTATATTGATGGCTTTGCGTTTTGGCTCAATTGAACAGACCTGTTTTAATGGATATATATATATTGAAGGTATTTTATTTTTTTTTTGTATATTTCTTTTTGTATATTTCTGTAGGATAACTCCGGCAAATACGTCGCGCTGGGATTTACGCCGCAGAAGTCAGAAAAAATAGAAGGAGTGGGGGTAATTTTCCTACAACTAACTAAACTTCTTTCATGTCTTTATATTATTAGTATTGTGTTATGATTTCAATTTCTTACTGTTAATATTAATGAAATGACTGTGAGTTGAATCACAACAATTGTTACTGTGTTAAGTAGCGCCATCATAAATTATAATCTACATAAAATGATTACTGTAGGACATGCAAAAGACTTAGTGGTTATTTTGTGATACATGAGTATAGAAGAATAGTAAAGTATGTTGTAACAAAATACAAGTACTTTGCTCTTGTATTCTTTTAATTTGTTGTTTTATATATCCCATCTGTTGGGATATATAGCATTTTTAACACATGAGATTTATGTTCAAAGCATATAAAGTGCGCAGATTGAATTCAGTGCACTAAATTCAAGCTCTTTAATTTTGAAAACATTATAGTATTCTTTCAAAAGACTGGCGTATGGCCTTTTAATCGGAACGTGTATGAAAATTTTCTCACAGTTAATATTACTAATCAACCTTTACAAGAAATTTCTAAAAAAGAAGACAGGTTTATAGAAATAGAAGATTTGTCGAACTCACTTGATCGTGATATAAATTTGTTTTTAATCAATGATACATCGGTGCACTTAAGAGAAACACTTATAAAAAATAATTCTAACGACAATAAACAAAAAATTATCACTTTTGATGATATAAGATTATATCCGAAAATTAAAGCAAGAAAAAATAAAAAAGGCCTATTGAGACAAATCTATTATTTTAATGAATTCTCCGTTTAAAAAGCAATTAAAAAAAAAAGAAATAAATATAAAAAAAAATAAGAAAAACTTAATGAAGAAAAGCAAAGAATTCTTAGAAACAAAAAAAAAAAACAAGAGAATCAATCAAAGTCAGAAAATGATGACTGGAATCCATTGATCTAATAGAATCAAATGACGACTTCAGCAACATTATTCCATCCAGTACATTTGTGTAAAGAAACCGATTCATATTATATTTGCGCGCGCGCAAATAAATTACTTGAAAATGACTTTTAATGTTTTTATAGTTGAAATTGATTATTTAGTCTAACTATCGAGTATTTACATTAAAATTTAATTTAATGCATGTTGTATTAAAATCAGGTTACATTTGTCAGATTATTTTTATTTAATTATAATTAACTATCAAATATATTAATACACATTTAATAAATTTGTATTTTTTAATCTGAAAGTAGATTTTAATTTAATATTAATTTAATAAATTAATAATTTAAGATTAAATTTCTTTTCTTTTAGTTGATTGACAAATATTTAATAATTGATTTAAGAAAAAAATCTATATTAATATATTTTTGTAAGTTTCAATTTTGTATTCTAAAATAAATATGCTATGTAAAATTTTTATGTTTGATTTCAATTAATTTGATCGTAATTGATATGTTCTTACGTTTAAGAAAATATTGTAAATATTACAATTTGCCTTAAACTCAGTAACAACTTGCTTTACAATGGTGTTGAATAGTATGAGATTATTGTCGTGCACGATCATTCTTCCCGCCAAAGGAATCGAACACTTTAAAGATTATTCAGAGTCTTAAATAATAATATATAGTCATATATCATCGGATTTTCGATGGCAAACAATTTATATGCTTCGCGGACATAAAATTGGACTTTGACATGATTTAACGATAATTATCTTGATTTAACGATAATTATCGGTTAGCGCATGACACTGCGGTGAAGATCAAGCGGTGTGATCCTTTTACCGCGTTTATCGCGAGTGGCCGCCATCGCTTCTGATTGATCGAAATCCATCAATCGTGAATATGAGGAAGATCGGAAATTTGAAGAAATTAGTCTTTCGAGAACGCGAAGAGGTAATTCCGTCGTTCGTACGTTTTAAGATGCTGAAATCATTTTCAGTCAATTCGATCTCAGTGTCCACAAATATTATTCTCGCGATTCAGGGTTTCTCCTAGGCATCATCGCGAGATTATCATGAACCAAATCTTTAGCCTGCAAGCTATGCGCGAAAGTGATCCGACTAGGCGATTCAGGGTGACAGCTTCTAGGCATATTTGAAATAATATCAACAATAACTAAGCGATAAGTAACTGAGAAACTGTACATAAACAGAACATAAACAATAAATAGTTCTTTTTCAAATCGAAACTAGAGTGTGATATTAAGGTTATTACATTGACGTGAAATGGTGTAAGTTGTTACAATTTATCTATTAACGGAAAATTTCAATTTTTAATGTTTAATGATATTGACACAAGTTAGAAAAAAGTTTATTATCTATAGTTAAAAATGTACTTAAATCAGTGCATAGATATTTTGATAATGTACATTATTTTGGAAAAATTCTAATAAAAAATTCTAAAAAGAAATTGTTACGGTCTTTGCTATGTTAATTGTGAAGCAAATAACAATTTTGTTTAATAAAATTTGAATTAGAAGTACGTTTTTAGGAGTTAATCTTTTTCTCAAATTTTGTTTATCAAATGCTAATTTTTTATAACTTAATATTCAATATTTAATGTTTCATACTTACTTACTAAATTTCCACATTTCTTCAATTTCTTCGCACACTCATATATGTTGTAACATAGCGTTTTTAATCCTACAAGATCTGTTGTTACATAAGCTACCTAACATAAAAAAAAAATTATTCGGATTTATAAACATTTTATATATAGGTACTTTAATTTTGAAAATTGTTAAACATGCATAATATAATTTCTTTTACTTATAATAAATATTTAATGAATGTATTTAAATAAAGTCATAATATAATATTCATATTTA